CGCGCGCGCGCGCGCGCGCGTAAACGAAATCAAGCATAAATGATAACATATGTATATAAATATATATTTTATTTTAAATATATTATTTTATATATATTATTTTATATATATTATTAACAAAAGTTGCTATAATTTATGACAGCAAAAGCGATATACGAAAGCTGTAGACAAATAAAAAAGAGCAAAATTAAGAGAAAAAGCTTGTCTGGTGGATAATTAGATACAATATACAAATCAATCCACCAAAATGGAATATCGAGCTTTTATACGTTAATATAATGGTTATGTAAAATTGCAATATAATTATACATAACCAATATAGAGGAAGGAAGAGTGAAGACAAACGAGTCAAAAACCAAAGATATATCAGCGGAATTTCTTGAAGAAAATCAATTGTGAAAAAAAGATATGCACACTCACACATCATAATTAGGATGTGCTACGGAATGATGAATTTTCCTTTTAATAGCTTCCAGTTTATTAATTATTCATTAAATAAATTCAATTAGAAAACGTTTTTTATTACAATCGAAAAAGAGATATATTGCTTTCAAATTTATTTTATCAAAGAGAGATTGTCATATATTTCTTGCTACTAAAAGATTATAACATTTTTTTATATTTTTATTTATATAATCAAAATATATTACGCGATTAAGATAGTAATTTTAATATTAATGTGAAAACCAAATCAGCAATAAATAATTCCTCCTTATTAAAATGAGCAAATTAGAAAGATATTTTCATAAAAATTTTGCAATATACGTATATAGAGATATGTAAAACGCAAAGACATTTAAAGAAATAACTAGACTACTAAATGCACTTACATTATATTTACTATATGATAGACTTTGACACCAAAATAAATAGTTCCTTTTCTCTGTCTATTTTATCTCCAGACTTTTCCAAATGTATTTTTACCATCTTGTAATAGATATCTCTAATCTGACAATCTCTCTTCGTTTTTTCAATTTTCCTACATTTACTTCTCAAGAAAACATAATAATGATTCAGTCGCTAGATCATCGAGACACGGTGCACGGGATGAACAAAGCTTTGCAGCTATGTATCAAGAAGGAGAAGGACAAAAAGGAAAAGGATCTTGAATCGGCTGGCCAGTGGCAGGATGGGTACCTGGATTCGGCAAATTGCCACTATGGTCTTGGTCTTGGTCGTTGTTTTGATCCGCATCGTCATCGTCGTCGTCGTCGTCATCATCACCTCCAACCGATTTGCGGGTAGATCGATCTGGATCTTTCTCGGTGATGGTCCGCGGACGTAACGGCTGCTGCCACCCAAGCTCTCCTTCGCTGCTACAGTTCGATGAAAGGGAAGAGAGGGTCGGACTCGCGGGAATGGGACTGGAGCGTGGCGTCGAAGATACAGAAGCAACGCACCAATGGGCATGGTAGCATGAATATATCGACGAGATATAGTTGTTGGTCTGAGTTTTGATATCACAGATGCCCTGAAGATCGTACGACAGCTTCTTTTCAAACGCGGAGAAATGACCATCGTGGTGATGTTTATGGGAACTATGGTGATGATGGTGATGATGATGTTGGTGATGATGCTGACCTAAACAGGCGGCCGGCTCTGGTTCGGACTTGTCCAATTCCCTCCACTGCCTGTGATGCTCCATCGTAGTCTTGTGTGATGGTGTAACAGGGGTGTTTGGCGGGGTGTCCGGACCCCCTTCGGAGCTCGAGCTCTCCCCATCCATTGATGTTTGACCTATCCATTACAGCCCAGTCCCAATCTCCACGCGATCTTTTTTATTGTCTTGCTCAACTATTATTGTCTCCTACGCAAATGCCTAACGACAATGCTGACGAAACTGAATGAAAAATAACTCAAGAGAAGAAAGTGTGAAGTATTTAACGCCGATTATCTTACGTTAATCAACTCGAACGACGAAGTTCAGATTTAAATGTTGACTTCAGTAATTTAATATCAATTTATCAAACTCGATTGATGTACTAAAATGTATGTAGATATAAAAATATAAGTAGCGATCTTTTCTAACGTGATCATAACGATACAATGTTCAATAATAACATTGCAAAATAATTTAATGGATCACCAAGTACTTTGAATATTCTTCTACAATATTTAAAATTTAGTTACAAATTCATGTATAAATTATATCATGTATACGATCAAAAACTTTCTCCTTTGTGAACAGTCATAAGTTTCTATATATTAACTTGAAGTGTGTTCAAAAAAGAATTAAAAATACATAAATTTCTGATTTAATATAAAATATAAAATATGATTTCTCGTATTAACCTTATTAAACGTTAAATACTCCAATATAATGCGAAAGTAAAAAAGACGAAATAGAAAAAATAAGCAACAAAAAGAATATTCGAGAAAATATAATCGATAATATTCATAAAATGTATATACTGGAAAGTAAAAAAGTAACAATCATCGACTTGAAATTATATGGTGCATCGCAAACATAGTAATATGAAAGAAGGACTGATGACAACAGAACCAAGGAAAATGAAATCTTGTAGTGGCTAATTAGAGCTTGGTGACCACAGTAACCCAAGCAACTTCTTGCGTCCTGCGGAAAATTTTATCTGACACGCGTGGTGGTCTAATAATTCCACAGATCTGTCCATATTTTGTTTCGTTTGTCTCTTATGTGTTATCTTATATATTATTCGTGTCTCGAGACGCATCTTTTTTTCCTTTATACCCTAATACAAACTTTTGCGTAGTGCATATATACGGGCATTTATTAATAAAATAATAAAAAGGGTGGGGAAACAGGGTTAATGTGGTCAAAGTTAAATAAAAGGTAAGCCAAGCAACATCACAAATTTAGAAATAAGATACTGTCATAGATAATAAACGGAAACAACCAAACACATAAATAAGCATTCTACGAATATATCTATGTACTAATATATGAAGCATATCACATATATAGATAACTTATAAATATATAAGTACATTAAAATATGTATTAAAGTATTCATTGTTTTAAAAAATATATCGCTAATCATTTTACTTTAATCATATAATTATTTTATATTATACGTAAATAGATAATGTAAAAAAAAAGATTTAAAACAGTTATTTTCAATCTATGATATGCATCATATATGTATATATATGTTAATACATATATATATATATATACTACAGGAAAATTTTGTCTGTATTCCTAGTTAAACTATTAAAACATGCAAAATGTTCTAACATTATGCAACATATCATATTTTTTGTATGTACTGACTGTGTATACAGACAAAATTGTTATTTCATTCTATCAAACTACGATATGGGGCATTATGGGGAGAAATGGAGATTATATTTCTCTAAAACTTTCTATTATTAAAACTTATTATTATCTCCAAAAAATCAAGTAAAATCTGGAGTAATTGAATTGGAGTAACTGAGAACTGAACTGACTATATATATCAAAGATCATTGATAAAAAAGGTAACTCGAAGTAGTGTGCATGTTTCGTGTCGTGTATAGTATTCATTGGTGCGTTAGTTAATCAACAGACTGTATTATTCTAAGTTTGAGCGTTATAAGAAAATGATGCATAGACAATCGATCGATACCTGTTGGCAAGGGTCCAAAATATTTTATAACAATAATAATCCGTAAAATTGCTTCTATGTATTTGATCAAATCATAGATGACATATGCAATGTACACTTACCCAAACAGTATTGGACAGTGCGAATTGCAATATTCTATTAATTCGTATCTTTTAGCGTAGCGTATATATTATGTTTTCTATTCTCCATCAAGATAGAGAATATAAATTTAAATTATTATTAAAATGAATATGTAATATCTCATAATATTTACATCTCATAATATTTCAAATGGAATTGACAGTCTTACATTATTAATTAGATTGAATATTGTTTAATAATCAAGATAAATATATAATTAATGGAATAGAAGAATATAAATCTAGATAATGGTTTGGACCCCTGGTTAAATAACTTGATCCTCCATCATATGGAAAATATTGTCGAAAGAATATAAAGGCCCAAGAGATAACGAGGTATTTCTTCTACTTACTATTGTTGGCCATCAGATTTTCATGTAGCTTGTCCCTCTGGTCCTCCAGAACCTCACCCAAATACGTCGCCACTTTGCGCGTTACTTGCTCCACATATCCATCAAGTTTGCCTAGATCGTCTGACAAACCAACCAACTGATCCAATGTTCCAACCTTCAGATCCGGGATGTGAAATTTGTAGTTCACTGATAGAGAGTGCTGCTTGGATGTTAAATTGTTCATAGTTTCCCACGTCTGCTGACAGGTTTTGTCTCCCGGCGCGGAAATCAGCCAATATTCCGTCATCATGAATGAGTGTGTTTTGCTACTGAAGTTCTAATAAACCTGAAATACATCGCGACACCAGTTAACTTAAAATTCTTAAACGACCTTGTTCCCAAATATAAACAAATTACGAACGAATTTTTTTTAAGTGTACATATGTATTACTTAATTGCTTGGTTTTCATGAAAAATTAGATAAGAGACCTGTTCCTTTTAACTAAACTTTTTGCACGATTTATCTTTTCTCTTTTTTTTCCATATTGGCAAGGAAAAGAGAAAAAATAAATTGTGTGCAATAAATTCAGTTAAAAAGAACAAAGCTAAGTATGCATAAAAATATGATAATTAAATTACTTAAGTATTATAAAAAATAATTTTACTCTCAAAAATCGCCCTTTTATATCATTTTTAATTGCTGCATTCAATAAATATAACTAATCATTTTGTAATTTCCATAAATGTAAAGGGTTGATCTCTTCCAGACAACCACCTGCTGCCATCCTATCATGCATCGAACTGGGCACATCGCGCCGCTTGCATTTGCGCAGCTGTCGAGGTAGAAAGCCGAGAAAAGACGACTCATAGACAATCACCGAGTGATCGTCGAATGGAAGTCTTTCGTCTGAATTAAATTCGCGGGAATTTGTGGATAGCTAGATAAGCCGCACGGAAGGGGGTGTGGCACGGTAGAAGCTTGTTATGTAATTAGGCGCCTTTTCCACGTGACCGTATATACGAATGACCCACGGTGTATGGCCGATCGATATCGAATTAAGAGCGAAGAGACAGAGAGAAAAAAAAAAGGAACTATTCGCGACAAGTAGTGGCGTTAAAGAACGGCGCGTTCTTGAAAGAGATTTCTAGATGAGATCTTTGAAGAAATACACGAATGAATCCCGTGACGGGAAGGAAAGAAAAACAGCCGCCGTCACCAATCCAATGGCGTCGGCGGACCTCGAGCCGCCCTCTCGAAGGGATCGATAATGCGCGATGCGTTGGCGGCGGGCGCGGAAGAGCATGAACATACGACGCAAATCGAAACGAGAATTATACGCGGGAAATCACGCGGTGAGAATCTTTGCGGATCGTTTTCGACGACGTCGATTAATCCCTGACGTTTCGCCTCGGGAACGAGATCGACAGGCGCGTGCCCGTGCGTGCGTCTCGTCGAGATGAATGTAATCAGCTACGTACCAGCGGGAGATAGCTAAGCCTCCTCCTCGTCGTTATCGTCGTCGATGTCGCGCAGTTGGTCGCCAGGTCGGCTTTCCACCGAAGAGACTTCAGAGGATCTTGCAGGCTGGACGACGCTGTTCGCCGACGACAGGACCATCAGAGACCATTGTGACCACTCACGTGATGACAGATTGCGTGCTGCTGCCCTGCGACCCGCCCGACAACTAAAGCCGCCGTAGCCTCGCAACGCCGTGCCGTCAGCTGACTCCGCGACGCAGTGTCGCCAACTCAGCCTTTTCCAGCCTTTTCGGCCGATTCAGCAGATTGAGAATCGGAGTCGCACATCAACTTTCCATTTGCGTCCGTCGTTACTTATTGTCATTTATCGCTGTACCGATTGGAAGAAATTGTAATAATTGAATGGAGAAATGTAAGAATCTACATCATAAGAAAGTGATTTTAAGGGAGCGATTGGCAGCACTGTCGTTGTGTGTGATGACGATGACGTGTAGTACGCCATTTCTTTACGATCGCGTCGCTTCATAAATAATATTCTGCTGTGTTTTGGAGTATTTCATTCATTCTATTCTTGTCCATTCTTGTCTTTTGTTGGAATCGAGAGAAGAAGAGGAAAATATTTACATAATATATTGAGATATTTCTGAAGTGTCGTCATGGGTTGCGATGGTGGCACTATTCCTCGCAGGGACGAGCTCGTTAGGGTGAAAAGGAAACCGGAACAGGTAAATTTGGAAAGTCTATAACCTCGCTTAGAGAAGTTTTTCTATTGATTTTTCTATTGAAATTTCTGTCTACAATCTTGAATATTAAAGCGAAATTTCGCATCGCTCAACATGTTCCAATATGCTCCTATCATAGCTTCTATTCACTCCAACGCGCTCGTTGGAGTGAGTAAGATTAGAGAGAAACTTCTCTGGAAGGATCTATGATAGGAGCATGTCAGAGCATGGGATGCGAACAATCTTAAAGCCTATTCTACAATATGCTCTTTGTTTCCTGTTTCTTGTTTTTTACCTTTTGTTTTTTTTCTTTGCAATCTTTATATTTTTTGCTATGTATTTCTTCCGAAGTTCATTATCATTAACTTTTATCTCGGGCAATATAAAACAAAAATCCAGATAAGAAGCAAAAAGACAAAATGTAAAAAATAACAAAAAGCAAGAAACAAAAAAACATTGTAGAACAGGTTTAAGAATCATTGCTTTTAATAGATTCGTTTTTTTAAATACATGTATTTAGTATTTATTGAAACGAGAAGAAAAGTTCTTATTAAAAAAAAAAAATACCTCATACAATATCAATCTCAGTTTTTTATTCTTTTATTTTGCAATCTTGAGCTGATTTTATTCTCTTTAAATTATAAATTATTATATTATTATAATCTCTTTAAATTATTTTCAATGTAAAAAAAGTTACTTTAAAAGGAAATGAATTATTTATTTTTTGTATATTATTATTTATGTTGCATACCTATATGTGTGTGTATATATCTATTAACAGAAAGACAAAGAAGCAGAATTAGCTTTTAAATGGAAGCACTGTACGATACGGCAATTACCACTGCAATCACCGATCGTGAGTTGTGGTTTAGGTCGTCTGTACAGTAAAGAAGCTGTGTTGGAAGGTCTTTTGGATCGAAATACTCTTCCGGAATCTGCTGTACATATTAAGAACTTGAAAGATGTAAGGAATCTCAATTTAACACTAAATCCAGCATTTGATGGTGATAAAGCTGAGAAAGGAGACCGTTACAACGATGGAGGCAAAAGCCCATTTATTTGTCCAGTCATTGGTTTGGAAATGAATGGAAAATATAAATTCTGTTTCTTATGGTCATGTGGCTGTGTAATGAGTGAACGTGCCCTCAAAGAAGTAAAGAGTACAGTAAGTAAAAATATTCAGTTATTGTATATATAACGAAAATAAATAATAAATACTGAATAAGTTTTATAACAAGAAAAATGTTAAATTTTACAATTTAATTTAATTATAGTCGAATGTTATATCTTAACTTTTTTAATTTATTATTTGTGCAATCTTTATAACCAACTCTTACACGTCCTTATTTATATTGTTAATTAAATTTCACAGTCGTGTCACAAATGTCAGCAATCATTTGAAGAGACGGACATAGTCATATTAAATGCAGAAGGAGATGACGTGGACCTCATGATGAAGCGAGCGATACTTAGAAAAGTTAATCAAAAGAAGTCAAAGAAGAAGAAATTGGAGGATGATATCTCAACAGAAGAAAAGAAAACAGATGAATTGTCTAAGAAAAAGATGAAAAAGGAGGATAAAGCTATTCTTAAATTGAACAATAAGGAGGCCGATGATCCTGCTTATAAAAAAGCTAAAAGTGATTACAGTGTTGCGAAAGATCCTAAAGCGTCGGAAGTTTTCAAAAGCATTTTTACTACTCATAAATCTGCAACAGAACAAGACAGAGCGCACTGGGTTACTTATAATCCATTTTATAATTAATGTATAAAGCAGTTAATAAAATGTTCTTAGAAAGAAAATGTAAAAAACGATTTACATTACAATTTTGTGAGCTCTAATCAGTATTTGCGAGTTCAGTGAATCCGGACATTTTCTCAATTACATTGTGAAAAATTTTTTATAACAAATATTTTTCACAACTTTACATATTTTCATTTACATGAGGTTTTTTTCAAGTTTTGATCTTTAAAATGAAAAAAATTGTTCAATTGTGCTAAACAAATACATTAATACGTTAAACAAATACGTTAAACAAATACATTAATATGAAATACACGACTATCAGTTAAGGAAGTTGCAGAGCGAATACTGATTAGGAGAGAGGGAAGGAGAGGGGGGGGGGTTAAAGACTTTAAAATATATAATAAGCGAAATGTACAATTTAATATTATTTGTTGTCTCATTAGTTTAAGAAAGTCAATAAATAACGTTGTTTTTGTAATTACGTGTAATTTTTTTATATCAAAATAATTTACATAATCTACAAATTCACGTTGTATGTTTTAAAGGCACATAGTCTAATTTGTATACAAATTTCTTGGAATTTAAATATATATTCCAATTATTTAAAAAAATTATATTGACTATGTGTGTTTTAAATACAATACATAATTCTTGCAAAGTTATCAAATTACATTTGTATAGGTATCCTACGCACAATCAACGCTCGAATGGCTCCAAATATTCTTAGTATAGCACGTTTCCTGCGCGAATATCTGTTCAATCCCAAATAACTGCACAAATACACGATAACTGTCATTATAATAACTATCACTATTACGTAACTCCATTGGTGTATAATCACATATTCTTCCTGAATTTCTTTCGCGTCATAAGCCATAATATCAGTGTCGAGATGTTGCAACGTAGAAATACCAGCACCACCAACTCGTCTCTTAAGCCAAAAAGTGTCCGTATCTTGCATTACTGAATTTACTGCGCTCATAGTATTTCCTACAGAAACCATCTTCTGAGACCTGTAAAGTTCTCTGTGAAAAAAATTAAAAAAAAAAAATATTCAAGATGTTCGCAAAAATCTAGAAACAATTAGTAATGATAGAACAAGTACATAATCTATTGAATACTTGAACTTTTAGACTGAAAAAGTCACTTTTGTGGCTCTTGAGTTTGAATTAAAATACTACTACTTTTAGTGATATTTTTAATACTAAATGTATTAAATATATATGTGTGTATTGTATTAAAAAATAAAAATTATAAAACGTATAAAAAATATATATTGAAAAATATACAAAAAAATAAAAAAATATTAAAAAATATAAAATTATAAAACAAGAAAAAAGTAAAAAAAATAAAAAATTCAAAAACCAAATAAAAAAATAATCAAAAAGGAGCTACAAACTTTCTACGTCCACGTCGTTAGCTCTGGATAATGCTAAAGGAAAGTTCTGAGTTTATATATTTATATTCATTGTTAATATTGCGTTTAAGGTTCGAAATTTTATAAATTAGATCATATAAATATTTTATATGATCAGAATAGGAATCAGCGATATCAAAAACCCCCCAAAATACTCTATTTTTGAGAAAAACATTTTTTATTTGATCGTATGTTTCCGGCCGGGAAAACCACTTTTGTGGCTCCGCACAAATCTCGAAATTTTGGACAATGTGTACATTACTTACATAGCAAAATATTTGAGAAAAAAGAATCCCAATTTATTGAAAAAAATGTTAGTTGTCTAAAGATTAAAGCCATCTATTTTTAGTTGTAGCCTCTAATTTTCTATTCTTTCAGCTATAATTATAAGGTAAGTGGAATATAATTTTAAAATATTTTCTTCTAGCATTTACTTTTCAGATATAGGAACAAGAAAAAAATTGAGCAAATTTAATGTATCTGGAATTGAAATAATATTTATATATGCGTAAAATTACTTACATTGGCACAGATTCATTGACTGGTACAGGAACGGCATAGATAGGAGTGGTACATAACGGAAGAGATCTAAAACTATCTGCTGGTTCGTTAGTTATTAATACTTTACTATGACGACTAAAATGATTTTCCTTCATTCGATATGGTAATTCTCCAATTTCTATATTACTGGTCGTTTTAACAGTCTTGTGCTTTTTCTGACTTTCATCCATGAAAACAGTAGGTACGTATCCTGTTGTTGTATATTCTAAAATAGCGTCGAGCATCCAAAAACAGGCTAAATATGAATAACAATATCATTTCAATAAATAATATCCAATGAAATTGTACAATTCAGAATGTTTCAAGAAATGGAAAATTTAAAATGTTTTCTAAAAATATTTATCAGTATTTATAATATTTTCATTAATATTTTTTTTGTAATACATACATTTTTGTAAATGGCTGTCATCAATACAATTTGAATCTCCATAAACAACGAGTCTACCGGACGTACTCGTCGTATCTTTGACATTTTTTTCACCATTCTGATCTGCTTGTATTTCATTATGAAATTTAACATTAAATGCCGCTTCAACATCATTCTCATTCGTCACTTGTAAAAGTCCGAGTATCGGTACAAGTGTAGGTATTCCTGATTTTTTTTCCAGAAGCTCTTGACCCTGATCATATAAATCTGCATACAGAACGATTCCATCCTTTGGAAATCTGAATAAATATAAAAAAAATGTGCTGTATACAATCTAAACTAATTTCCCTACATATAAAATATTTTACCTAGTTAACGTAGTGCCAGACGCAAATATGACTGGCGCATGC